AGCTTTTTCTTTTTTTTCTTTTTCCTTTTTTCTTTTCTTTTCTGTTTTTAGCAGGACATGCTAAATGCAGCCTTTACAATTGATGAAGTCTCCAGATGAGAGAAAAAAGGGTGTTGTATGCCAGTCACTGAATGGAGGCAGTCCAACTGAATATATTGAAAATTCCAGTGATGACTTGCTTCTGAGTAGACCACTGATCATAGGATAGAGGATGCTATTCCACAGCAGGTGGATGGTGAGTAAGTGAGTAAACTACATTATTTTAGGAATGGGAATGAAGGGATATCTAGTAGAAACAAAAGGCCACACAGATTACTCAGAAGAACTGTAACCTCAGTAACCTCATGGCTGCATTTGTCTAAATGCAGCAAAATTCAACCTTTTTGCTTCTGACACTATCACAATGATGTTAACTGAACCCCAGTGGTTAATTGTGAAGCTTTTACATGAATTCATATATTATTTTCACGAATTCAGGAAGGCTCTGTAAGCCAAGATTCTAGTTATTTGGGGCATCCTAAACACTGACACATGAATCTCTAAAGAAAATCAGAAAGGATGCATTGTTTTCAAAGTTCTGTGATGAAATTTTGAAATGTTTCTTCATGTACAGTAAAACTACTGACTTTATTCACTTTCCAAAACATAAAGATCACTTGGCTTGCTGGATCTCCCTCATCATTGCCCAGCTGTGCAGGCTACTCTAATACTGAGGCAATAAACATAGAATCATTTAGGTTGGAAGGGACCTCTAAGATCATTGAGTCCAACTGTTAACCCAGCAATGCAAAGTCCATCACTAAGCCATGTCCCCAAGTGCCACATCTACACGGCTTTTAAATACCTCCGGGGATGGTGACTCAACCACTTCCCTGGGCAGTCTGTTCCAAGCCTTGACAACCCTTTCAGTGAATACATTTTTCCTCATACCCAATCTAAACCTTCTCTGGTGCAACTTGAGGCCATTTCCTCTTGTCCTACTGGTTGCCTGGGAGAAAAGGCCAACCTCCACCTTGCTACACACTCCTTTCAGGTGGTTGCAGAGAATGATAAGGTCTCCTCTCAGTCTCCTTTTCTCCAAACTAAACAATCCCTGATTCCTCAGCTGCTCTTCATAGCACTTGTGATCTTGTCCTTGCACCAGCTTCATTGCCATTCTCTGGACTTGCTCCAGCATCTCAATGTCTTCCTTGGAGTGAGGCGCTTAGAACTGGACGCAGGACTTGGGATGCAGCCTGACCAGTGCAAAGTCCAGGGAGAGACCACTGTCCTATTCCTGCTAGTCACAGTATTTCTGATACAGGCTAGGATGCTGTTTGCCTAACTTTATTTTTCTTCACGTATAACTAACATCTTGCACATGTTTTATCTTTTACTTGCTCCTCCTTGGTAATAATTTGAGAATGGTTTCTCTCCCTTCTTCCTGGCTTAGGCAGGCTGATCGTCCTCTTTTCATGTTGCTTCCATTTTGTTGGACAGGGCTTTTTGTTCCCTGACAATCTTATTTGGAAATAGATACCTAAGTTAAATCTAAATGTTTCTAATCAGATGGACACAATGTGAAATGGAAGAGATGTGTCTTCCTTGTACCTTACAGATTACAATCAGCTTTGTTGCTCAGTGTTTATGAATCAAAGCTTTCATAGTTCGACACAAACAGTAATTGTACTGCCTGAACACACTTATATGAAAATTCCTATCAGAATGTAAAAATTGTGCCAAGTGTGACTCAAAAAATAACTTACCCTCCCATTTGCAGAAATGCAGTTTAATAATGCTTATTACACTTTTGGAAAGATCCCGTATAATCTGACAAAATATGTCACTGAAAATTGGTAAGATGTCACTGTATCTTACTCTGACAAACACATTAATTGAAATCTAATTCCTAAAATTTTAATGCAATTGTTATTAATAACATAATAAGGTAATTTAATGTTAGCCTTAAACTTTAGGAATCTCATCATCCATTTTGCACTCAAACTAATATGTCATTAGCTTATGAATTAAAAGGATATTTTGCTGTTAGTTGCTCCTTACTTTTGTGATAACACAGCATTCCAGTATGGCTCAAAACCATAAAGGTAAATCTTACGAGAACGATTGCTATTATATATGACTTCAGATAAGAGTCAATATTAATCTTGTTGTGTAACTATGTGAAGTATGGTTGTCATACTGTACATACATCTCCATGCATTTGAATAAATGAGGATTGCTGTATGGAAAGGTGCTTTCCTTGTGCCAGCTCTTTAACCTTTATCTGAGTTTATTTAAATCACAGAAAGAAAACAAAGCAAAACAAACCAGAAGTGGGTGGTTTTCTATGGAGCTGCTAAATTGAATGGACTCAGAGATGGATCTGGTGAATGCCAGTGTTGGCTTAAGTGTGGGGCAGAGCCTTAGGTCTGACAGTGTGATACAGGGAGAAGGAAATGATAATGGTGGACTGGGAGTGAGATCTCACCCTTTTAGTGGCAGTGAGATGCTGGATGGGCTCAGCTAGCCATTGAACTATACCCAAAATATGGTTGAAGTTTCACCCAGGTGTAAAAGCCAGTTTCACTTTACAGTTTTACAGTAAATTAATGGGTTCTTAACTTAGTTAAGTACTGGTAGTCATTAGTCCAGGGAGAAGAGAGCTAACCACAGAATAAAAATAAATCCTTTGGTCTTGAAATTTTCATGAAGTCTTTTTTTGTCTCTCTTTTTCCCCCTTTTTTCTTCCTGCCTTACCACAGCTCATCCGTTCTACTATGTCTGCAGTCTGCATGGTGCCTGACAGAGAGAGACCATGAAAATGCTATAATCAGCTAGCAGAATCACGAGGCTGAACTACAATCACCAACAGATACAAGCTTGGGATTTATATTTAGCTATAGTGCTAGTGCAGTTTGCAATTTAGGATGGGCATACCTGATTCATCTTTAAATTAGCTACTCTTCTTAAGAGCAAATTTCTAGCCTCTACAACACTGTGATTGGCACAAAGTCATTTACTTTTTGCCATCAAGTGTTTCCAATTATGAATCCTATTTTTCTTCTGTGAGTACAGCATTATGTGCTGTTATGCATAGCTAGCAAAATGTGAACTTTCTAGAGAGAAACTGAGAGTGTGACTGTAAAGAATTCATTGCGTAGCAAGAATGTGACACCTAGTGGATACACAGCACTGAGGAAATGTGACAGTCTCATCAAGCAATATTGCCATAAGATGACCTTGTCCAATAGAAAAATTAATTTGATAGCAGAAAAGAGATTGATTTTGAATGACTATTTGCATGGGCCAAAGTAAGTGGATACGGTCAAGTCCCCACTGAAAACTCATAAATGTAGGAGCTGTCAGAGATAGTTTTAAAATAATTGTTTGTAAACTACTAGAAGATTGAGGATGACAGGCCAAGGAGGCCTGAGGCCCAAGGCCCATGAAGACATTGTGCATCATAACTGGAGACATCCAAGATGCAAAACACAAGAATAAGGTCTAAAGCCCCCTTTTTGTTAAACCCACCTTTCTGTTACTGCCATGCTACTTCTTCAGAAAGTGAGTTTTCACAGTAGGTGATGCTCAGAGATTAACGACTATATGGAGATGCCACTGGAAGCTGGAGAAGACTGAAACACAGTTTAAAAAGTCTGACATTCTGCCTGAACTATCTGATACAGACGGTGTCTGTCTTCTACTCTCCACCGCAGTCTCCAGTACCTAAATTTCAAGTATTTGCATATCCCCACTCTCCATGGTGCCCTAGACCCTCACTGCTTCATTGGCTATGAATACTAGAAAAATTCATCACCAAAAGCTAGTATTGTACACTTGCTACCAAAAACAAATCAAAATTTCATCACATAATTTACATACAAATATCTCTATTTATTTCAAAATATGCTGAAAAGTCTTCTCCAAGCCCCACAGGGGTGCATGCTTTGCTGGCAACATCCTTTGCCTGCCACCACTGCTTTACAGTCACACTTCTCACTTCCTAGCTACAAAAAGATGCTTGGAACTATATTTTCTATGCAAGTCTTGGTATCAAAATGCAAAAATTATCTCTTTTCCTGTACAAAACAATGTTTGGAAAAGTGACCCAGCTGAAGTGCAGGATGTTTATATCTCAAGCTCCAGGAGGAGGTTTGGGCCACATCTAGAGAAGGGCATGAGCCAGCAGTGTGCCCAGGTGGTGAGGAAGGCCAGTGGCATCCTGACATCTATCAGGAATAGTGTGGCCAGCAGGACTGGGGAACTGATTGTCCCCCTGTGCTTATCACAGGTGAGGCCACACCTCGAGTGCTGTGTCCAGTTCTGGACCCCTCAATACAGGAAGGACACTGAGGTGCTGGAGTGAGTACAGAGAAGGGCAATGGAGTTGGCGAAGGATCTGGAACACAAGTCCTGTGAGGAGTGGCTGAGGGAGATGGGATTGTTTAGCCTAGACAGGAAGAGGCTCAGTGGTGACCTTATAGCTCTCTACAGCCACCTGAAAGGACAGTGTAGCCAGGCGAGGGTTGGCTTCTTGTCCCAGGAAACCAGTGCAGAGCAAGAGGAACATAGTCTCAAGCTGTGTCATGGGAGGTTTAGGTTGGACATCAGGAGAAATTTCTTCACAGAAAGGGCAAATAAATATTGGAATGGACTATCCAGGGAGCTGGTGGAGTCACCGTCCCTGGAGGTAGTTAAGGAAAGACTGGATGTGGCACTCAGTGCCAGGGTCTGGTTGACATAGTGTTGTTCAGTCATTGGTTGGACTCGAGGGTCTTAGAAGCCTTTTCCGACCTAATTGATCCTGTGATTCTGGGACAGGAGGCAACACAGGCAGCAAAAGGTGGAAATAAACAAGAGGATGAAGGTGAGAGCTGGCGGTCCATACAAAAGTTCTGAAACACTGACACAGGAGCATTTTTAAAACGGTGACATCGCAGCATTTTTAAAGGCCGCCGAAGGGGCGGCCGGGCCCGGCAGGGCTGGGCCGGGAAGGGCCGCGGCGAGGGGCGTGGCCGGCGGCAGCGGCGAGCGGTGTCACGCTGGGCCGGCCCGGCGCCCGTGCTGGCAGCGCCCGGTGCCTGCGGCCGCCGTCCGCCTCAGCCCCGCCCTGCCCTGCGGATGTGGAGCCGGCACCGGCGGTGAGTGGGGAGTGGGCGGCCGCCTCTCAGCGGCAAGGGGCTCTCGCTGCCCGCGCCGCCGCCAGGGGAGGAGCCTCCGCCCTTCCCGCCCACCCCGCCGCGGCGCGGAGCCAGTGCCGAGCCTGGGCAGCCGTGACACCACCGGCGTTTCCCCCGCCGCCCCGGCAGCGCTCGGGGTGGTGCTCGTGGCCGCGGTGGGCTCCGTGGGGAGCGGCGCGGGGCGGCGGCCGCCGGCGAGTGCGGCCGGGCCGGGGGCAGGCAGTGAGTCACTGGCCGTGCTGGCGGCGGGGCCGGCCGGACTGCTCTCCTCCGGTATTTGCCTTCCTAAAAAAGGAGAGCGAGGCGCAGCCTGGCAGTAGGAAGGAGCCGTGATGGACCGCCTTAGAGCAGGCACGGCCCGGACGCGGCGGCTCCCGGGGCCGCCGAGCGGGTGGAGGCCGGGCGGTGAGCCCGGCTCTGACCCGCTCTGCACACACAGGCCCTGGAAAAGGGCTGCAGCTCCTTCTGTTACTCGGTCATGGGTTGGAGTCGATGGTCCCAGAGGTCTTTTCCAACCTAATTAATTGTGATCGCCACCCAGCCGCTCCGTGAGAGCGGGAGCTCGGGGGTTGGAGGGCCTTCTTGGCTTGTTCCCTGTGCTTCTGGGTCTGTCGCTGGTTATCCAGTGTGTAGTATGAAAGAAGAGGCCAAATTGTCTCCCATAGGGTCTGTGCTGGGCGTTGGACAACCTTTTAGGAAAATAAATTTGGAAATCACACAGGCACGATTTGGAAGAGTACTTCAGCTCTGTTGCAGTTTTCAGTAGTAATAAGCCTGAAAATAACAAACTGAAAGAGAGTAGTTTGGGGTTAGATATTAGGGAGAAATTCTTTACTGTGAGGGTGGTGAGGCACTGGCACAGGTTGCCCAGAGAAGCTGTGGATGCCCATCCCTGGCATTGCTCAAGGTCTGGTTGAGTGTGGCTCTGAGCAACCTGGTCTAGTGGAATGTGTTCCTACCCATGGCAGGGGAATTGGAACTAGGAGATCTTTAAAGTACTTCCAAGCAAAACCATTCTTTGATTCTGTGATGATTCTGCGATTCTTACAGTCACCATGCCAAGAATGATGATTCTGAATATATGATAGGAGCCAAATTCACTGAATAGCACACTGCTTTTTAAAAAGGCTGTTTTCAAGAGATAACTGTTCTGCAAAGCAATATTCTTAACCTGTAGGTAATATTTAATAATTATCTCGTGCTTTTCATTCTTTGAATTATTTAGAAATAGCAGTATACACAATATGTCATGCGTAATTTTAGCAAACCCTTGCAAACCCCTGATTATGGATAGTGATGCATTAAGGTGCAGTGACTTGTCAAGACAGTGTAGTTAGTCACTGACAAGCTCAGTTACAGTGCCTCATCCCTGATTATGTTTTTCTCTGTCTGGTTCATTCTGGTTGTACAGATACGCATCTGAAATTTTTAAAAATACTTTATTAATCCAGTGCATTTTTTTTTTAAAGACATGAATACTTGCGTTCAGAGCTGTAAATCTGTATGTTGCAGAATTATGTGCCTGTGAAAAGGCAAGTGAAACTAACCAAAAACCCAACTGAAATTTGGCTTGAAAGCTTTTTTCTGCAAGTTGAAATTGACAAGTTGAACAGACTTGTTTATTATTATATGCATATGTTTACAGTATCACTGTATTTTGTAGGATAATTTATATGAAATATTGGAGACTGATTTGTCCTTGAATGACAGAAGTACAATGGTCATAAAAGCTGAACTGCATCCTTAAAGCAACTGCCTTAGAAATTAAGTATTTTAACAGGAGTGGGAAAACGGCTTAAAGGCAAAGGGTAAATTCCCTTCTTCAGTTAATATAAAAAAAATTACCTCAAACCCCCAAACCAAAATCACCAAACTTTCCCCTCACTTTTAAATTTAGTAAATTAAATCTGTCATAGGTATTCTGTTTGGGTTTTTAAACTTTTTTTTAATGGAGTAGCTTAGTTATCAAATTTGTTTTATATCAATATCTCTAAGTTGCTTTATGAAGGATGATACAATGATCTCTGTAGCATAATTTGTACAAAATTTGTTAACAAGACAAAATAGAAGTGCCTGGGGTTGTTCAGCCTGAAGAAAAGAAGGCTCAGGTGAGACCTTATCACTCTCTACAGCTGCCTGAAAAGAGGTTGTTGCAAAGGGGGGACTGCCAAGTAACAAGTGATAAAACAAGAGAAAATGGCTTCAAGTTGTGCCATTAAAATTCTGTGAAAAAATTCATCATGGAAGGGGTTGCCAGGCATTGAAACAGGCTGTTGAGTCACCCTCCCTGAAGGTATTTAAAAGCTCTGTAGATGTGGCTCTTGGGGACATTGTTTAGTGGTAGACTTGGAAGTTCTGCATTAAGGTTTGGACTCTATCTTGAAGGCCTTTTCCAGCCTAAATGGGTCTGTGAGTCTACAAAGGCCTGCTTAGATCATCTGGAGTGATGTTGTATGTTGCTGTGCTGTCAGTGCTTTATGGCTGGACTTTGTCATAGAACACTTGGTATATAGGTTCCAAAAAGTCATTTGAGTGCTTTGAGTGTAATTTGCCTGTCCAGTATGATAGGTGTCTTACTCACCTGCCCAAGAGGGTTGTAAATTTCCTCGGTATGTTTAAAGCTTCACAAGATTAACTGAGAAGGCTCTTCCTTATAATCTGTTTGCATACTCATACCACGAGAAGCTTATTGATTTTTAAATACCTGTTTGACTAAGTTTCTGTTAATGTTTTCATTCGCTGACAAATACACTGTCAGAAGTTGCAGGCTGTTGTTTTTGAGGATAGTTTCAGCTTATTGATTTGTTTTAATTTATTCACTTGCTTTCCTCTCAGTACTGCTTTGCTATACATAGCAACAGCAGTTTTCCAACATAGAGAGTAGGACTTAAATGCCATGGGAGATCAGTAGCATCTTGACAACTGCAGAGGTTACTCAACCTGGTAGTAGTAAGTGCATAAAAGTGCTTACCTTTGCCTTTGATAAGCACAGACTTGTGTAACTCGCTACAGTAAAGTTTTGTGGGCTTTAGATTTGTACCAGATATTTTTTAGCACTTGCATTTTATTTTGGTTTTGTACTTAGCAAGCCCTCACAAGATGGCGGGAAAAGCGAAAGAGATGGTGGAAAGCTGGTCTTTCTTGGATACTGCTGAGTCTAACTTCAGGCCCCTGGTAGTAATTGAACTTGCAAAAGGCACCAAAGAAGAAACCATAGAATGGTTCACTAAACGAATCGTGGACAAAAAGGCAAATGGAGGTGAGTACAGTATGATCTTCTGTAGCACTTTGAAATCAAATTGGCTGTCACCATAATATGGAGACATACAGAAAATTAGTTTTCAGGGAATTTGTGGTATAATGATTGCTTGCCAATCTTGTTTTGTGTTTTTTGAACCCACCTTAACCCTGTTATTAATGAAAACATTGGCTTAAGGTCAAATAACAGTTGAACTCTAGAATTCTTCCGTTTTTTTTTCACTGAAGCCCTGATAACCTCTGTTTCAATGTAGTTTTGATTTCAGTTTTTATAGCAGTGGTCTAGACATGTTTCTCCTCTTGCTTGCAGAAGTGTAATAAGCCTTGCCTAAATGAAGATGCTTCACATCCTGTCCATAAACCTTCGTACCATGTTGTAGAGCAAAATTAAGTTAGTAGAAAGCAATTTAATCTTGATAACTTCGTGTAGGGCTTTATTTATATTTTTTTGTTAGCATGAAGGGTCTTAAAAAGGCAATATTTCATTACTCATTTTGGTATGCTTCTCGAAATTAAAGTTAGGCTAATTTATTTGTAATTCCTTGGACTTTTTTTAAACTTTTTCAGAAAAAGTCATTTGTGGCTGTTGTAGCTTATAGTTTATGGTCACTAATATTTCTGTGGCTGGTGGATTTGTGGCTACAAACTTGCTTTCAGGCCTCTTTTAGGTACTTTAGGGATGTTTCTGCTTCAAAAAATCTAGTCTCCTTAAAACCAATTGAACTATTTGCAGAAGCACTTCTTGCTTTTATGTTGTGAACCTTAGGGGAATAGATCCAAACGGTCCCCATTGTTCCAGGTCATTGTTGGGAGTGCTTCAGCAGAAACAGGGCTAAATCAGGGGGTGGGTGACCCTGTAAGATTCTGAACAACCTATGTCAAGTACTGTTGAAACCTTAAGTCTTTGTGCCCTTAAAAAGAGACATTTTCAGCAGTCCTGTTAGCTTGGGCAAATACATTGGATGCTAAAATGCTAGGGATTTTGGACGTAATTTTAATGTATTTTCTTGCTTGTTTTACCCCTGTTTACTTTCAAGGTGCACAACTACTGATTAAACCACTGGTTACGGAAAATGGAGTTGAAAATATTTATCTAGTTGGAGCTTCCCACTTAAGGCTGTTGCTGGGAGCTGAAACTGTAGGTTTGGTGAAGGAATGCAGTGATAACTCAATGAGAACTTTTACATACAGCAGTAGAAAAACTTTCAAACATTTTGCAGGTAAGCAATGGTGGGAATCGTTGTCATTGCAAAGTGGTGACTAAAGAGTATAAGCAATTATGCTGCTAAATCTTTTACAGTCTTTCTGTTCCTTGGAATGGTAACTGTGAACAGCAAGTGGAAGACCAAGCCATGAAAAAAATACTTGTTTTTAACTATGGAAATTCAAGTCATATGATGAATTTTGGTTTCTTTCACATGGCTTTAATTTTTTGCTTGTCTTTTCCTTCATGCTTTTCTATGCTCCAAATAGTCTTTTACTTGTATGAAAGATTTTCTTGGAAAATAAAACAAGAAAAAGAGCTGATAGACATGATTTTATGATTATCAATCCACGTTGTTAATTAATGTTGCAATTTCATTTCTGTGAGCCATTTTTGAGGCTTGTGATCTTAAAATAAGCTGGAAAAAATAGAAACATTTTTCTCTGTTACATGTACACATCAAACAAACAATAATTAACACTACAGACGCATTCAGTGGGATTTGGGCATGATTAGTGGAATCATTCCTTTTCCTCTTTTATTTTGTGGGGGTCACAGCACAGGAACATTTCCTTTTAAATGTGCTGCTTGTAAAGTATTTAACGCCCCTACAGTGGCAGAACTCATTTTTTGCTCTTCAGGTAAATATTGGAGTTCCAGCTTAGTATTGCTAGTACTTTTACTGTGCCTGATTGAGTGATGCCTTTCACCACATTTTCAGTATAAAGGTTCTTGGGTCTGTCTGAAACAGTTTTCAAGTTTTGTTGTTCACTGGCAGTTTTGCTCAACACTGCTGCTGTGCAATACCTGTTGCAGTGGCTTCAGTTTTGTGACCTTGCTTTCCTGGAATTAGGAAGCCTTCAAAAGAGTTGTCAGTTGCAAAAGTGCCGCTTGCATTTCTTTCATGCCTTTACATTATTAATGCAAATCTGTCACAAATTCCACTGCTAACAGAATCTCTAGGATTAGCTGGATTTCCAACTGCTGTAAACATATTTTTGGCTGTATCTCCTGGTATTTTTTCTATTTAAAAACACAAATGTAATTTTAGTTTTGTCCAGGTGCAATCAGAGAAATTGTCACCTAGAAAAGAAACCCTGCCGTCTGTGTTGTCTTGGTAGTATTTCTGGTTGCCCAGTTAAACTATAATATACAGTTGTTCTTTGTATTAGAGTTTTTTTTTTCTTACTTAGTATATTTAGGGCAATCCCTATGGTTTCTTATTCCTAAGGGGGGAAAAAATTATTTTTATGTCAAGAAAATCTGACTTTTGTTTCCATGATGATAAATTGATGGGGTTGACATAGGTTTGTTGCTGTAATTTTTTTTTCCTGATTCTGGTAATTTTTTGTAGTTGTTTGCTGCCAGGGTTGTATCCATGTGTTGCACTGTTTCATACAACCTTCCTTTTTATTTAGATGACAATCACAATTTCCTTACAATGGCAGAATGTCAGTACATCATCAAACATGAACTTGAAAATTTGAGAGCCAAAGATGAAAAAATGATCCCTGGATATCCTCAGGCAAAACTGTACCCAGGAAAATCAATTGGTAAGTAATGTAGTTTGTTGCCTCTAACTCACTGAGTTCATGTAGGATAGTGTTCATGGTGAAAAAAAAATTAATTTTCCTGTAATGAAGAGAAATTCTTCAGATGCTCAAGTCCCACTATTTTTAACCAAATTTGTTTTTTCACTGCTTCAGTAATAGGGCAAAAAGCAATGGATACACAATACAACAAGAGAAATTCTGAATAGGTATCAAGAAAGTATTTTTCTCAAAAGTGTAATCAAACATTTGATCAGGAATTTAGAGATTGTTGGTAGCTGTCCTGAGAGACTTGTAAATCCTCGCTAGACAAGCCCCGAGCAGCCCTATTTAAGCCACGCCTACCTTGAGCTGGAAGGTGGGCCAGATTACTTCCAGAGGGCTGTCCATCCTGAGTCGTTCTGTGAGGCTGAGGCTCTGGCCTTATGTTCTCTTCAGCTGGGTAGCTTTTGCACATGTTGGTGTTATCCATGATTTTTAATTAGTACCAAAAGTATTTATTATTTAAGTTACATGATTATGTATTTGGATTCTCTCTGTATAAAAATACTGGAATGGCTACCAGTGCTCCAGAATTATAAATTTAATAATAGGAAAGAAGTTTTATTTAATTTGTTTGGTTTCCCTGATCTTCCTCTTTGCTTCAAGAGCTTTTCCTTTTCATGAGAGAAAGAAGCAATGAGAGCTGGTGCTATTTTTATGGTAGCGGAAAGTAGTTTGTTGGCAGAGATGCTACAGATTCTTAGGAGAATGTATCTTAATAATTGTATGTAATTTTATTAACAGTATCTTTATTCTTTAGTGTTGATCATCAGAGAAGGAGATCTGTGTTCAAAAAACGTAAATAAATGTATATGTCAGATGAGTTTACATTGGTAATTTTTTTATATAGCCAAGGTATTTTTCTAGTTGTATCAAGCAGATGATGATGGGAAATATTAAAATGCTGTCACACTTCCAGTGCATCCCTGTTTTAAAATTTATTTTCTTTTTTTCTATGGTTGTAACTTCAGAGCAGTTTGTTAATTGTTTATCTACACATGTAGTATTGCTTCCCATAGCAAAGCTAAATACAAATTGTAGAATATGTAGTTTGCTTGCAATGAAGATGTGATGTAATTTGTGAATTAGTGTAAACTGATAATTCAAAAGTTTTTTTGTATCTTTCCCATAATACAACTATGGCTTTATGGCTATCCCCACAAAGCTACATGTGGTATTTCAGTCCTGATCAGTAGCACTTTTTGCTGTTGAAGCTGCCTCTGTTTATATTGCAAAGCTGTGGAGTAGTTATTATATGTAAAAAGATTGCTTTTTGTCTTCCAGTGGACAGCACAGTATTTGCAGGAATAGGTATAACTGCTCTCAATTTTTTAATTAACATGAGACAATTTTTTTAGGATTTGAGTGCTAGAACTATTTCAGGGGAACTTTAGGCTTGGTAAATACACAACCTGTTTACTTATGTCAACTTCACTGTCCTTTGAAAGAGTGCCAGGTATCTATTTTTTCTTTTCTCTTCTAGTGAGAAGATTATTGACCAGTGGTATTCTTGTTCAAATTTTTCCTCTGCATGATAGAGAAGAGTTGAAAAAGCTTTCTCACAGCTGGTATGGCCGAGTGAAAATTGGTTATCAACCTTTAGGTATGTGAACAGCCTTTGCATTGTGGTCATGCAGTGGAGTCGTGAAATTAGACCACTGCTCTTTTACCGTTTGGACAAGTTTTTCCTCTATTAGTGTTTCCTGTGTGATCTGCTGAAATGATTCTAGACTTGCAAAATTGGTGATTCCAGAGTCTACAGATTCAGTGTTTGTGACTTTCCTTGTAACAGCATTCTGCACATCACACATTCTCCCCGCCCATCAGTAAAGCAGGAGTGGTCCAAGCCAAGACTGTTCTTTCAAACTGACTCTTGACAAGCTCCCACGTGTCTGGAACTCCGAAAGCTTTTTTGTGTTGTAGGTGTCTCAAAAGTGTATTTACAACTGTTTCTTTTAAATTCAGTGTCTGACTGAAGACTGTATGCCATTGCATGCTAGCGTCACTTGAGTATATTTTAGACACTGAATAATCATAAAATGAATATAATTTCTAGTCAGGCAGTATGGAAAGTTAAGTTCTAAACTCTAAACCTGTAAACTTTATTTAAAAATAAGAAAATAAACATTTGGGAGCTTGCCTAATTATAAGTCTCTGGGTCTTGCAGTTGTTTGAGGTTCTTTCCTGAGCTGCAGGAAGTTAAAGATCTGGCTCGATAATTCCTGCCTCCAGAGTATTGTGTTAGGAGCCTTATTGTGTGCTGGTCTTTTGTTTATGTGAGAAAGGTTTGGTTTTTTTTTTTTTTGGACTGGCATTGAATCCATACGAAATTTTGAAGTAAATCCCAGGTTTTTTTTTTTTTTTTTTTGACTGGCATTGAATCCATATGGAATTTTGAAGTAAATCCCAGGACCCTGTTAAGTATGTACTAATTTAGGCATGTCTTTCATGTTGGAGTGTGAATTGATGGTCATGACTTACACTTGAATGTATTTGGTACTGAATTTTTGATTTACTGGGATGTTAGAGTGCTGATCCTTCTGTCTGTTTACCTTTCCTTCTTGCTTTCAGAGACTTTTATCTGGTTGACCGTTGTAAACTTCTGTTGTAGTGTTTTGTAAGCCATAAGAATATTCTGGTATTGCATATGAGTTTGTTTTGTGGTAGTTTATTACAGAGGTAATGCACTCTGTGGTAGTGTTTTTACAGTGCCAGTTCAGAGGCCATGCTTCTATGGCTGTTTCTTTAAGCTGGTAAGTACAAAACAGTGGCATACAAGCAATCTGGTCATCCAAGCAGGCAAAGACAAGAGATTTCAGCATTCTAAACTGTTTGACAGGCATTTCTGTATCTAATCACTTCTAGATTATATGAATAATAATCCTATATTTTTTTTATTAGTAATATAAGTGATATATCTTCTTGGAGGTAATACATCTGACATGAAATATACCCATTAATAATGCACTTTTTAAGTTTCTGTAGCACCTGAGCAGACAAACTTAGCAAGTACAGCAAGTATGTATTTCATGTATCAGTTGTCTTCTGAAGACAGTATCTCAACCTGAGTACTTTATCTGATGTGTTTAAGATTTAATATTTTGATACACTTGTCCATCTGTTCCTTTAGCTCCTTGAGGGTTGTCAAAGCACAACTAGCCTTTTTTGTCTCTGAGCACGCTGAAATGAGTTTGTTTCCCAGGACTACATATGCCAGTGGGAATTTTCAGAAGCTGGGTGTGACTTGCTGTTAAAGTTTGGTTTTTATTACATCAAATGTCTTCTGTACCATTAATTGATGAATTCTGTTTTCAAGAATGATAGTGTTTTCTCTTTGTTTGGGTTTGGTTTTTTTTTCTTCCCCGTTCTCTGGCTATCTGTTTGACTTCCTTGCCATCGGAATGGTGTGTTTATGTGGATATATATGTAACATTAAAAAAAAAAATTCAGATAACCATCTGACTTTTTGTAATAAGGGTGAAGGAAGAAAGAAAAAGCAATTATATTCACTGTGTTATTTAGAAAAAAAATTCTGGCCAATGAAAAATTTACATTCATGTAAGGTCAAGTGTGATATTATACTGACATCTCTGTTAGGTGTAGTCTTAGTTGATTCATTTCTTTCTGCAGATGACATACGCTGCTACTTTGGCGAAACCATTGCTCTCTACTTTGGCTTCTTAGAATACTTCACATTTGCTTTGATTCCAATGGCTGTCATTGGGATTCCTTATTACGTGTTTGCGTGGGAAGACTACGACAAATACGTGATGTTTGCCACATTCAATCTGCTGTGGTCCACTGTGATTCTGGAGGTGTGGAAGCGGATCTGCGCCATCCTGACGTACCGCTGGGGCACGCTGCTGATGAAACGACAGTTTGAAGAGCCAAGACCAGGCTTCCATGGCGTGCTGGGGATCAATCCTGTCACTGGGAGGGAGGAGCCAGTGTACTCAAGTATTAAGAGACAGTTACGGATTTACCTGGTGTCCTTGCCATTTGTGTGCCTTTGCCTCTACTTCTCACTGTATGTGATGATGATTTACTTTGACTTGGAGCAGTGGGCTCTGGATTATCACAAAGAGAATGAGTCTAACTTCAGCAGCTTGATGCTGTATGTGCCCAGTATCATCTATGCCGTTGTGATTGAAGTTATGAACCGTATCTATCGGTATGCTGCTGAATTCTTAACATCATGGGGTAAGAAAGTTGTTCACTCTTCTTCTTTCAAGTTAGAATCCGACTTTCTTTGTAGATTCCATTACTGTGAGCTCTTGTTCAACAGAATGCTAAAGAGATTTCCCAAAGTAGGTTCTTGCTTGGGGTAAAAGAGATAGCCATTTTAACTTCCTATATTTTGAGTGTTCTGAGATTGCAGTTTCATATTTGGTTTAATTTGGTCTGTCTGACATGCCGTCAGAAGGAGTGATCCTGCCTTGCTGCTCAGCCTCTCTCTGCCTTTGGTGCAGAAGCTCCCCCTCCCTGATTTAGCTCTTTGTCTGGCTGTCTCCGCCATAGTGCTGGTAAAAGGGGCTGGGGGAGAGCATGGGGATAATAGCACAGAGGTGCATGGATGGCAGGAAGGATTGTCCTGGCAAGTTGCACCCACAGCCTGGGTTTGCTCACTATGCTTTCTTTAGCTACTGTGTATCAGTGCAGAGGGCTGAGATAATGCAACCACTGGGATAATGGAACCAAATCTAAGCCCACTCTAAATGTCACACGAGAGTGTTTATGTATGCTACATATATAATAAAGACTGGGATTCCATATCCCAATCAAAATGTCTTTCTCTGGGCACTCTGAGAGGAGGAGGAATGTTATAATAGATTACGTTTTCTTTCCCCCATGTGTGTAATTTATTTAACAGATTGAGCCTTGTGTTTTGCAGCCTAACATAAGGACAGTGAAATGCTGGTGTTTATTTTGAATTTTAGCACTTCTACAGACATGTGAAGCCACTTTCAGACAAAGCTAATAGGTTAAGCTAATGGAGAATTAACTGCTTCGTGTAGCTCCATATGGCATTGATTTGCAGGACAGAATCCAGATTATTAAAGCTGGAAACCCAGAAAATTAACAGTAGAAAGATAAAGCAAAGAGGAGGTTGATGCAGAAGACAGAATAAGAACAGGTGTCGAAGTGGGGGTTGGTTATGCTTGCCAAAATGATTTGCTCAGCAAATTCAACCTGACTTCTGTGATAGTAAAAGCAAGCAATTTCTTTGTTTATGACTCTTCAAGGTTTTTATTTAAATAATGATTTTTAAATTCATGTCTAGGGCCCAGTTGGCTGTTTTGTTTCATTATTTTTACTGTACTGCAAAAAAAGGCATTTCTGTGAAATACCCAGTTATGTTGATCTGATGGACTAAAATGTCTTTAACAGGCAACTCAAGGGGTTTTTTAATCCAGACTTTTTTGGGTTTAAGCTGATGTTTCATATTCAGCAGAGGCAGTGTTTATGTAACCTGCTACACTGGCAGCTTGTGCCTTTTCTGTGCTGTCCAATATGTTTCTGCTGCCATGCTCTGAATAGGCTGAAAAGCTCATCTGGCTCTCCTGTCTTCTCTCCCACCTGGCATATTTTCAGATAATATCTGACTTCAGCAGCTAAAGTGACAAAGCATGGGAAACAATCTGGGGTATTTTAAGCACCCCTCTTGCACCCATTTATCATGAAAGCTGATTATGTAGTGAAAGCTAAAAGTAAAAATTGCAGTCACTTGAGTGCATTTTCACGTGTCAGGCCTAACTTGATGCTCCTGTCAGGGCAGAGCTCTGCTGTTTTGTCCTGAGCAAGGTCTGTAGGTGATGGTGTCTCCTTTCAGTCTTGTTGACACAACACATGCTAGTGTGCTGCCTTCCCAGTTACTGCTTACCCAGGGCTTTAAAGGTACAGTCTAACAAAATAGCAGAAAGAAATTGAAAATCTCCCATCCACTTCCCTTTTCTCCCCTCTAGTAAATCAGCCTTCCTGAAACATCAAGTTCTAACAGTTTATCTTCAGGGAACTGAAAATCTCAATTTGGAATGAGTAATGCATCTGTTGAACTTCACACACTCTAGTCTTCCTGTAGAGTGTAGGGTCTTATCTAAATTCCTTGGAGAGAGATGGGAATATTTCTGTGAGCATTTACTGGTTTTTAATAAAATTTTTTATTTTTCATTTTCATTATATATTCCCATTAGTTTTCAGTTAAAAGAACAATCAATAACTAGACATTTTGTTAAGTCTTAAAGGCAATGGATGTTTTTCTTTTATAAAATAGTTCTTTGGGATAAGAAATAGATAAAAGAAGAAACTCTTGTGGTCGAAAAGATACTGGAGTTGTAGTCAAAAATATGGGTGAATACTGTGGATCACTTTAGCTTCAAAGATTAAGTGAGGTGTTGGTACAGTATAAATTCTTTCTACCACAAAGTGTTGGAGTAATATCAACTATTAGGTAAGTAATTTTTATGTGGACTAAAAGTGTCTGTTCACTCTTCGGGTAGCAATGTGTAGTATATGGTAGGAGCTTCTGCTGTTTACTAATGAATAATTTTGTTGGTATTTTAGAAAATCACAGGCTGGAATCTTCATATCAGAATCATTTAATTCTGAAGGTTTTAGTGGTAAGTACGTCGTATAAGCAGCTTTTAAGATTATGAAAAAGACAGCTTGTGCTGTATTTTATTAGTGCTTTCCTAGCATTACCACAGTGACCTGCAGTTTTGCTCAAGGCCAAATAGTAGCAAAAATACCAGAGTAAACAAGATTTCTGTTATGGTTGCAGTAACTGCTAGACTATTTTAGATGCCTCTTTTATAGTGGAGAGTTGGCTTTTTATTTGCATTGAATTGTTCATTCATTAGGATGCTGTACATGTAAGTTTCTGTTAATTGGTGTGGTCCTGTCTTCAACTGAAAGCTATTTTTTTGCACGATTTTATGATAAACCATATTTTGAGAAGTTCATGTATTAACTTCCACCTATATTAACATTCAGTTAACTTGCCAGAGGAACCTGAAAATACCTGTCAGTCTACGACTGTGTAGTTCATAGCATATGCAGATTTATTTTATTTATCTAATCTTCTTGTTTCCGTTTCAAAAAGATCATTTAAGTTTCTTCCTTTTTTATTTCATCAGTTTCCTCAGAGTTCCTTCTTTATTTCCTTCACCATGTTTTTGTATGTGTGTGTGGGTTTATTTGGGGTTTGTTTGTTTTGATTTGGGGCTTTTTTTGTTAAATCTCAGTGTTACCCACCTGTTACTGGTAACCTCTGGATCTAAAACTCTTACAGCTATCACTTACAGCTTTGTCTCCTCCTGTAGCCTTTCTCATAAAACTTAGAACAATTTCTTTTTCCCCATAGGGTGTAGTTATGATATTATGAAAAATCCTTTGCTGGGATTTTTCCTCTCCTGAGAAGCTGAGGAGCTTCAGGAGAGAAATGTAAACAATTACTATCTGCTGCTGTGGAATGCAACAGGTGCATCTTCCATTGGTCCATGTGGATTGTTTTCCATTGATGACCAATCACAGCCACCTGTGCCAAGGCTGTGAGCAGTCACAGGATTTTGTTATTGTATTCTATTCTATTTTATTCTTGTTGTAGCTTTCTGATTTCTCTGTTCTTTAGTATAGTCTTAATGTAGCATTTTAATATAATATCTAACATAATAAATCAGCCTTCTGAAATGGAGTCAAGCCTCGTGTCTCCACACACGGAGAGTTCGCCTCAACAATAGGGTATTTATACAAAATGATTTAAAAAATTATGTACTGTCAAGTGTGAGTTTCCCCAGTTTTTCATTCATAGTCTGTGAAAGGCTCTCTGTACTCCAAGTATTATCTGTATTGGCCAAAAACTCCAAAACAGGAGCTGCAACACTTACAGCAAGTAGGAAACTTCAGAGTTTGATTAAATACTGTGATTATGTCTCATTTTAGAAGTAGGGAGTATTTCTCTTGGCCATAAAACCTTTTGAAGTAATTAAACATCAACTGCAGCTAACATATATAAAGGACCATTTTTAGAGATTGAGGGACATACCACCCAACATGTATATTTTGACAAAGTATCTTTTTTAAAAAAAGTCACTGCTCTAAATAAAGATCAGTATATCCCTTTTCTAATGTTATCTGGAGAAATTGCCAAAAAAATTAAAATTAAGTAGAAGGTGATGTGTTTTTCATCTCCACATTTCATAATTCAGTTGTAGCTCTCTTTGTTCACTTTGCTTTAGGAGAGTGTTAAGCTTGTTAAGTGAAAAACTGAGTAAGACCAATATTGCAAATGTGTTTCTTCTGACCTAAATTTTAAAAATGGTAAAGACAATTTTGATGGGCAGTTTACATCTTCACGGAAGCCATTTAGTCAAGGCAGCTGTTAAGTTAGATGATATTCTGCATCTGAACTTTTGCTCGAGTACTAAAACCAAATATTTTTATTTGCAGTTCAACTTCTTAAATTGTTTTGCCTCTCTCTTCTACATTGCCTTTGTGCTGTTTGATATGAAGCTTTTGAGGCAGGTGAGTTCCAAGAACATCTTAAGAATGTTGGTGAATCTAGGGAAATAAAGGATTGATTAAAATAGACTTCAATAGTTATTCTAAAACATAAACTTGGCAATTAATATATTTCACCTGTATTTTCTTATAAATCCAGCTTCCATGTTTCAGTTCCCCTGACATTATTGCAGAATCATAGCACAGTAGAGTAATTCTTTCTCTCTGTATAAATGAGGAACTGTTTTCAAATAAATTTGATTATTCTCTCACACAGATGAGACTGGGAAATTCTCATTTCCTCTCTGTTTCCTTTTATGTTAGAAGATGTTCTTCTCTGTAGTGTTCTTAATGAGAGACTCTTGAGGATGGGGTCGTGATTAAGTTCAACTACAGTGAGGATCCGAGAATAAATGAAAGCAAAAATAATTTGTAGTTGCTATTTTAAATCAACTTTCACACTCAAATGCATGAAAATTGGGTATAAGAAAAATATTTTTGCTCTAAACATAATGAGCAGTACAACAAGAACTTCAGCTCAAGACCTCTGTTATCCTGAAGTGATCTCTAGCAAGACACTTTACATACCTGTATCAGACATAACATTTGTGATATTTTCTCTACTTTTAGGTAAAATGAAGAAATGAAAAGCATAGAAAAAAATTCTATCTTTAGTTCTGTGAGTGTCATTGGCCTATATTAAATATGCATTGCCCTTCATTGTACTTGGTGTACTGTTTTCAGTATACAACCAGATACTCAAAATGTTTAGACTGCTAACTCCTAATTAGTCTTTTCTGCACACAGCAAAGGATGGGAACTACATCATCTACACTTTTTGTGTGCTATTCCTAGGTTTGTTAGGCTGGCCTTTTTTTCATAGTGTAGTGACTTAGAGTGTTACTCGAGCTCACAGAATTGCAAGTGATGATAGTTTCATCACACTTGTATCAATTTTTTTTTTTTTTTTTTAACTTAAGAGCTTGGCCACTTTGCTGATAACTTCGCAGATCCTCAACCAATTTGCAGAATCCTTGCTTCCTTACTGGCTCCAGAAGAGATACAACAGGAGGATGAAGAAACGCACGTCCTCCAAGGGAGCTGATATGGACCTGTCATTAGCTGAACAGGTCAACATGGAGAAAGAAATGGGAACCTATTTGGTACGTTGTAGTACTTAAAAGAGTTAAAACTTTTCTGGGCTGTAGTTGACAGAGGCCTCAGCCAAGGCAAACAAGAATATTTTTGGCTTTCTGGTGTGGCAGCTTATTTCCAGCTTCATCAGTTTTGCTGATAGCTGTTTATGCAGCTGTGTGTTATCCTGGATCAGGAAGTGGATACAGTGCAGGATCCTAGTAACACCAGAATGAAGGGGAAGGAATGAACAGCTCTATCTGGAGCTACCTAACTCCATGCCACTAGAAAGAAGTATTTGTGTAATATGCCCTTAATCCCCAAGGGTAACCCAAAGACTACCAGGATGAGTAGGCTGGCACAGGGAAGAGGGAAATTATTTCTGTTTTGGTTTGATTTTGCAGTGGTACTAGTTTAAATGGTCAGTTAAACTAGAGCCTGAGAGAGAGCACTTACGTCTGGATGGGGGGAGAAACCAACTCTTCCAAACAATATTCGTGCTGGATGCTCTTGCCTCTTGAAACCACACCTTTGGTATTCCCTGTCTTCTTGGTTCTGTTCTTGACCACCTCCTACCCAGTATAATTTTTAATTGTATTTAGCAGATTCCATGCAATTCATTACTTAAAATTTTAAAGGAATTTACGCAGTGGACATCAGTGTGTATGTTAAGGCCTCACAGACTGGCTGACAACTTCATCAGATGCTGTAAGCACAGTCACAAGAGTCTTAATACTGTATGATTTTTGCTCTTACAGAATAAGTACATGTAGATAGTGTACCTTTCATGTAAAAGGTAGACATTAGCAGTTTGAAGCTTGGTAATAACACCATATCAGATTCTTCCTGCATGAAGTGCCATGAAACGGGAAAAGGAGAAAGAACTATCACCCTTACAATTTAAAAACTGTACAGTTGAGTTCCTGTGTGAAGGTTGAAGGGAGATAGAATTAGACAGCCTGTCTTGCGGTGCAGAACACAAGAGAAATCCCTGTTAGTGTCTGAGCTGGTAAATCAGCACAGTCCAGCACTGCACCTGCACATCGTCCAGCTCCCAGAGTTTTGTGTCAGCCTGACCAAATAAGCTCTGCCTCTTAGACCTGAGCTGACTCCTGATTCTCAGCTGTCACATACAAAACCACTGTGGTGTCTCTGAGTCACATTGCCCAGTGCTTCTTGTGCAGAGCTGGATCAAATGAATCTGCACCTGTTGTGGTGTTGTACTCTGGATAATTTTTCATGGGTACCCAAGAGGTCAATTGTAGAGAGGACAGTTTAGGACTTGGCCTTGGATGTGTCCACTGCTAGCCTTGGTTTCAGTTCTAAATACTGTGTACTCAAAGCCTTGATTTTATATTCAGTCTGAAGATTATTGTTTCGCTGTGCTTGTGAATAAACGGTATTAGACTGCTGATTTGTTTGCAAGCAGTGAGCTGTCAGCAGGCAAGAATATTTCTAAAATTAAAACTGTCACAAGGGGGAAGCATTTGACTGTTTAGTAACTGAGGAGTCTTGACAGAATTCTGTGTTTCAGGCTCTTTTGTTTTGATTCCTTCTTTCGCATACTCTTCAGCATTTAATTCTCTGTACTTTTTGTCCTCATTCTTGCCTCCTTTTCAAATAACCTTGTTTAAGATGTAGAAACATCCTGCAATAATTTTTAATTATTATTTTTCTAACTTCTGCTTCACTCCTCTAGTTAATATTCTCCCTTAATTTATTCCTTGTTTTTGTTTCCTTGATGTTGTAGCTGATGTTGTGGCTGCTGATGGCACAGTTACAAATTTCTTTAACATTGTCTCAGATTCGTGTTTTCCTACACAGAGTTTCATAAATTGAGTAGAAGAAATACTTATTTACTTCATACTCTGCTGTTCTAAAAGCCAGTAGGCATTGGACAAGGAAATGAGAAGTGTGAGGAAGCAATGGGAATACTGTGCAGTTACCAGAGGGAGGAGCACGAAGGAAAGTTCTCTGTCTGCAGTGATTGTCTGAAAAAATGATAGCAGTAGCAGATGTGTGGCCGCCATTCCAGTGGACATTCCTGCAAATGTCCCTAAAGAAGGTGTTGGTAAAATTCAGAGCTTGTACAAAATGTTTCTGGGGAAAAAATCTTAATGGCTTTAAAAGTTAGGTAGCTGTTCATAGTCTGGCCTCTGGACTGCTTTGTGAGACTGAACTATACTGTGGAACTTCAAAACAAGCTCAAGTGAGAAATACAATTAATGAGTAACCCATGTTGATTTGTGAGCTTGCAGACTTCTACTGCCTCTCTGTTTCCTAGGAGAAAAAAGCACTAGGTGTTGGAGAGGGCAGTCAGTTTAACAGCTATGACGGGCAAAAAAGAGTCGATAACCATGTGTCTGATGCATGGAGCCAAAACCACTTCCATGTCATTCTTGGAATAATTTCAGTTACTGTCAAGTCTTCATAATTTCAGTTTTGAGAGAGAGGACAATACATGTGTCTGTGTAAATACAAGATACCTAGATCTTTAACTTCTCTGTGGTATTTCATCCTCCTTTGTTTATGACTCCTTTTTCTTTAAAAGGGTTTGGTTTGGTTCTTTCATAAAAAATTGTTGCAATCATAGCAAACTGTTATTAATATTACAAAACTAATATGCAAATAAATATATGATCACCTACACGTGAGTACTTAATCAGCTTTTAAGTACCCACATTCTTGGTTTAAAGATCAGGAGATAAACCTATTGGGATTTGTTAAATAGGGTTTTTTGTTTGCACTAATGGCTCCTTTCAGATGTCAGTGCTGCCTTGTAGATTTCAATCTTCAAGTGGTCCACTAACTCTGTCCTACCCATTTTTAAATAAACAAGCAGAAAAACCAGAAAAGAGTTGTCTATCTACCAGACTACCATTCTGGTTAGGTCTTTCATGGACAGTCTGTAATGCTAGGACTTTTATTGCCACAGTGCTCTCAGGAGAATGTTCTGCCAGTTTAAATGCATGGTGCTGTTTTTCTGTTCCTCACTGTTCCTTCTGTTACTGTTTAACTGAGATGCTCAGAAACCTGCATAGGTTGAATGTGTTTATGTAATTACTTCATGTAATAAGGATAGGAAGTGTGACTTGCATAAAATGTATTAGGCAAAAGGAAAAACCTGGGCCTCCCCTTATAAGAAATTATTAGTGATTGAATAGTGCCAAATTAATTGGATTTTTAAAAAATTCTTCTTGTCTACCATCAGCAGTCACTTCCAAACAACTGATTTGGGATGAGGAAACGTGTTTACAACTGTAGTGCTATTTCTGTGTTTTCTCATAGTTTTTTTTGTAGGTTAAATTGTTCTTATATTTCCTTTGTTTTTTAGGGTACTTTTGATGATTACCTGGAGTTGTTCCTACAGTTTGGCTATGTGAGTCTTTTCTCCTGTGTTTATCCACTGGCAGCTGTTTTTGCAGTGTTAAACAACATCACAGAGATATACTCGGATGCCTTAAAGATGTGCAGAGTTTACAAGCGTCCATTTGCAGAACCCACAGCAAATATTGGTGTTTGGCAGGTAATTTTTGTGAATTTTTTTTTTCTATCTGTTTGTTTAAAAGAGGTTTCAGCAGCAGTATGAAAGCTTTGTGTTTGTCCCATGAGCCACTTCAAAGTTCAGCAGGTACTTTGTTCTCTTCAGTGCTGTCTTCAAATCTGTCCAACTATATACCCAGTGATATTTTTGGTGGGGTTTCTGACCACATGCCTTTCAACTGCCTTGGAAAAGAAAGCAGATCTTTTCTTTAGTTCTTGTGTATGTATTGTACTTCTGCTGCAACTTCAACAAAGCAAAGCTTCCAGAGAGTGCCCAGTATTCTTTATAGCCAGTGTATTTTAGAAATGGTAACTTCTGATGCTGTTTAGAGACATGGAGTGCAGCAGGGGTTTCCAAAGAAATGGAAGGATAGGCAAGTAGTTGGATTCCTAAGCCAGGCTTGTGGCCCTTGCACCCGTGGTTTCTGGTGCTCAAGCTGGCTAATTTGAAAATAACCTGGATCTGTGAGCAGGAGCTGGAACTTTCTGCACAGCCTGAACACTGTAGTCTATCTAAACAATTTCATGGTAGTAGTACTGGGTTAAGCATTTTCTGTCCTCACTTGTTTGTCCATGCAGTCATGCTGCCACCAGCTATTTTGGGGCCTGCTGAGTGTGCTGCATCAGTGAACTGATTCTGACCAGAGTTTTCTGGAGTGACTAAATTGCACCCAGAAACTTTAGCATTCCATAATAGCAGTGCTTGATAAGGGAATGTGATAAGGTTGGGTGACCTTTCTAGGATGGGATCCATATTCTAGTTTTATTTAACAGGTTTTCTAATGTTATGTAATGGAGATAAAGGGCACAGTGAGTTAGTGGATTATTCAGTTTGGAGGGGTTGTAAATGTTATCAAATGAAGCAAGTGAGAGCTGAGAAATGAAATCCTGAAACCTCAAGTAAAACATACAGTAAAAACATGCAAACCAAGGATTCTGAGCAATGTTCATTAGACACATACATGGATATTAATGAAGAGGACTTAGAGGTGAAGTCTTTTATTAATACGCCATTAAAATGTGTGAATTATAATATGATTGCATTTTAACATGGGATGTACTTCCTCAGTCCAGATCTATGCTGCCAGCATCTTAATGGCATGGCTGCACTGACCAGTTGTGTAACCACCAGAATAATCAGGCTGTGATCATAAGTCACAAGTATAGCTGCAGGTGTATTAATAGCATTTGTTTTTGCTAGAATAGTGTGTTTCAATGAAGGGAGTAGGCTGAAAAATTATAACATTATTATAGTACAGTAGTTTTGTTTTATAGTGTCATTTTTTAACTAATAGGAGAAATAAATTTACTTCGTGAATTAAAAACTAAATTTTCAAGTCATCCATTTAATATGGGAAATGAGAGCATTTGCTGAAAGATTTCTGTTAAAGGAATACTGGAATTATTTTGTCAGGTGAGCTGAGTCACTAGCTTCTTGTAGAGGAGAAAGTTATTTCTGCTAATTCATTGTGACAGTCACTCCAATTCTGTGTCAGTCTTTCTCATTCCAGACAGGACCTTGGAATAAGTAATCATTATATTGCAAATGTAGTTGTTAAGCTATATTAATATTTTCAGACATTTTGTGGGAACTCTGTAGGCAGGAGCTTCTTAGACTTGTGCTATTGCATGTGTTTAAATGTAAATCTGTCAACAAATGTCAAGAGGTTGTGATTTAAAAAAGGCATTCTGAGCCATTCTTACCTTTTCCTCTTAACATGCAGACAGAATCTCCAAAGCCAGTGTTAGGACTACTAGTTCCTCTTGGAATTTTGCACTTTTTCCTTTATCCTGAAATACATTTGTTTGGGAGTACAATTGTCGATGAGTGCTTGGTCTTTCTTTCATGTGTTCAGGTTACAATCTTGTTGTGGTCTTGTCAAGCTGATGAGGCCTGGACTGCTTGCCAAACAAGTCCTGTGCCATAGAATTTAAAAGATGACAGAAAATAAGATAAAACTAATGGGTCTTCTGAGGCTTTCGTGAAGAGAGAGGTATCATGCAGAGCAATTTGGGAACTAGTAAGCTAGAGGTAATGGTCATAACAGTAAGTATATTTGTGTTTTATTTCAGTTGGCCTTTGAAACTATGAGTGTAATATCAGTTGTTACTAATTGTATACTGATTGGAATGTCTCCAGAAGTTGATGCCCTTTTCCCAGACTCAAAAATGGACCTTGTTCTGACTGTGGCATTGGTAGAGGTAAGTCTACCTTCAAAAAATGCATATTGTAGCAAATAACATAAACGCCAGTGGAAATGATAGCAGGAATTAGACTTTCCCTCACAACTTATATTAGAAGGAAATGAAGACTTTCCTATCAAAGAAGCGTTTCAAAGTCTTTCTCTTTGATTTCTTACTCTTCTGTGTTTTCATTTACTGTGAATGCTGTTGCTGTACTTTCCCAAGCATTCCCAAGATACTGTGCATTTGTTGCTTCATGTACTTCAAGTATTTAGTAGTACTATTTCCAGAAGCAAAATAATCACATTTTTTGTGAACTGTTTATTTGTCTACTTGGGTTGTGACCCCGGCATATCTTAAAACGACTTCCTACATAATCTTTATGGAATCCTGTAGGGCTTATCTGAAACAACTATGTGTCATGACTGTAAATATTTGTGATTGTAACAGCATTTGGATTTAATCTTTTCCTAATTCCATGTAGTAAGCAGATCAGCATCATTCCTTTTCAGATGTGGGATGACTGTGGGTATTTTAGAGAACTGATATTGCAGGACTTTGCCTTTATAAATCTTTCCTTCAGGTCTTTCTTGTATTGCATTATGTTGACTTTTACCATTATTCTATTTTAGCTTTTAGAAACTGCATTACTTTTCTCATGGCAAAAGGTCTGGATTTTGTATGTGTAGTTAAAAAAGTACATCACCTTGCAGAAGTGCATCAGGAGCATATATTTCTTTTTTGTTCATTTTACAGGTATTAAGTGTTATGCAATGAATTATGAGCTTGCTTTGAGTTTTATTTTCCAAGCCTTAAGGTTTGCAGAGTTAGCTGTAAATATGAATCATGTCAACTGGTTTGCTGGAATGTGCATCTACAGGCAGCCTGATGCGCTCTTCTGTTATGCACGTGTAGACATTTACATTAACCTTAGTGTGGTGTAGTTTTAATATAAAACTAATTTAGCAAGTCAAATGTAATGACAGAGCTCATTACTGGGCAACATATCTGGAAAGGTGATACTGTGAAAACTAGATGAGTAAATGTAAGCAGTATGGATTTCTCACAGCTCAGAGATGAGGCTGGTTTTGCCTTTGCCTGCTGTGTGTTAGACTTTTATCAGTTTAAATATGGAGCTGGCTATTTGATCACTAGGCAGATGTCTGTTTCTTGGCAGACCAAAGGAGAATACCAGCATTTCTCTCTAAATTGAAATTCTGTTTATATGCAACCCTTCAGGGAACAGGAATTACAGTGTAATAATTAGGTAGCACTTGGAACTCCTTAACATTGTATCTAAATTATCTATAAATACTGTGGAAAAGGAGTTTCAGAAAACAAAGGGAAGAAAGTTTGGACGGAAGAGGTAAATTAGTACTGAGGGGAGGAGAGGGGAAAAATGTTGTCTTATATAGAGAAGCAGCTTTAGTGAAGACCACCAATCTATAATTGCCATGGTATGAAGAGACTGTTGGAGGCTAATGCTGGATAAGCCAGAGGAAATTAAAGGTATTAACTTGGTTAAAGAAAAGTCAAGTTTTCTCTAATTATTTTGCTTAATTAAAAAACCCAAAGCAACCAAACAACAAGCCATAATGCAGTGGTCAGAAAAGATCTATTAAAAAAGTTATGATCGTAAGTATCCACTATGCCTGATGATTTTAAATATGCTGGTTTGATTTTTTTTATGGTTATTTTTCTGTTACTACCATCTATTTATTGTCTGAGAAAACAGAGAGATACAAAACCAACATGTGAGTCTTACAGTATGTTTCTGGAGCATAACGAGCCATGTGATTTTTTTGGAATGTTGTTGGTGGGCTATGAGCAGTTTCAAAACTACTCAATGTGAAATGTAAGATTTTTGCTGTCTCCTTAAGGACATTCTTTCAGTATATTTTAAACAGTATTTAACATTTTCACAGGTATGGGGTTTGGGATTTTTTTGTTGGTTTGTTATAGTTTTTTAAAGAGAGCTCAGGTCATACATAATTGCAAAAAATTTCATAACACAAATTTTGAACTTTCTAGAGTCAAAAAGTTCTCCAAAGTGAAACAATTTCATACAGAAATTTAATTTTAAAAAAACTGTATGAAAACGAGCACAGCAAACATGAGTTTTATTTCTGTTGAAAATTGTTTCAATTGTGTTGACAGTTAAACATGTTCTTAGTTACAGAAATTTTTTTTTACTCAGAAGTTCCGTTGTACATATTTTAGGTTAAAACATTTATTCCAACCAAAAGGTTGGAAGAAAGGAGGATTACTGGATGCTGTGGAGCTATGAACAGCAACAGTATAGATTTATGTCAGCTTCAAGAGATGAGGATGTTTTTGCTTTTGCTTCCTGTGTATTTACACCCATCTTATGTTGCACTGGGACTTTGTTTTACCTGGTGTGTGATGAAACAGATCAGGGAATTGGTGTGGGAGAAGCTGTCTGACCCTGTTCACTAGGTAGCAGGGCAGGAGCAGCGGTGTGTGGGAGACACGGCAGTGCTGTGGTAGGTTTGTGCTGGATTAAATGTGAAGGACTTCTGCACCACTGAGCCTTTTTATTTTAAGTATTGCTTAATGTACAGACAGATCTCTGAACTGTGTAAGGAGCACAAATCTCATGTATTGGCAGTATTCCCATGCACCTTTACTCTGTTTATTAACGATTAAACTCTGCATTTCCGTTGTAAAGAAATATTCAGGAACAGAATATATTACATTAAACTTCTAGGACAAACCTGATGCATCTAAAGTATGTCAATGTCAAGGTAGAAAAAAATTCAGATGTGTCAGGGTGTTGATAGAAAAGTGTCTTAGATCACCTAGCAGAGATTCAGAAAAACAGGTGAGTTATTTTATTTTCTGATGTTTACTGCAGGTGAAGATGAACATTTTACTGTGTGTTTGCACTATTTTGACAGCATCTTGGCAGGCAGCTTGAAAATGTTAAGAGAGAAATTTCTTTGAGTTGGCTATGCGTATTTTCACATGTTCTGTCGATGGGGTAACCTACTTAAATCTTAGCTGTCTTTAAGTATTTTAATAAGTTTTTAGTAACTGAGACTCCAGTTGAGTATTTATATATCTGTTTGATGCACAGCTAAACAGAAAAGCCATGTTGCTGTCAAAGCCAGGCATAGGTGTTAGTGATGTCCTGGTTTTTTTTTGTTCTTCTTTTTTTTTCAAAAAATACTTGTGCTTTTTAAGAATAATACTAATACTCTTCAAATGGAAACAGTTTATATGCCAACATTTAACACCACACTAGTGAAGTAACAAAGAACTGTGTGCGATATTCTTGTAAGCATTCTGTACCAAACCCCTACTGATTTATGCAAAATATTTTTTTCCCATTAACAACTCTTAACTCTGATGCTATCTACATTTTTGGTGGGAATATGTACTGTGTGAGTGAAGTAAATGTTAATTAGAATACCACAGAATAAAATATTACCAATTTCAAAACAATGGCAAGCATTAAAATAATATAATAATAATTTTTAAGCCAGTGATTTTTTTTGAACAGTTGACCTATTTTCATCAATTCAACATCTGCTTCCATGGCAACGTGATTTGAACCAGGAGCAGAATAATGAAACTCCCCTCTTTTACTTATGGATGGATGCTGACTGAGCACAGCCAGTGCAGTTTTCAAACAAAAAGAAGAAGCTGAATGCCCTTAAAGCAGGAAACAATAAATCTTTATTAACATAATTTTAAAACAGTTGTATCACATTGTGTGTTTAGTTATTCAGACTTCACCATAGACACATAATTCTGGTGTGAATTCAGGTGCAAAGTGGGACATTCCAAGCACCTGTCTGTGCTTGTGTGAAACTGTTCCAGATCACTTCTGACTGCCTACTCTGGTTTGAAAACAGAAAAAGGAAATAACTCTGAAGAAACTTGGTGCATAGTTAGGGAAGTAGGTTAAAACAAGTGTAACTTTAATTCTGCAGTGCTTTTTAAAATTTTTCTTGCAAAAATTGTTGGCAAAGAATTTTGTTCCTGATGATTCTTTGTTTTTGATGTAGACTCTCATAAATTTAAGGAATGTGAAGTAAATCACTGTTGGGACTACTCTAAGAGCTGACTTCAAGAATTCAATTCTACTCTTAAGTACAACTCTTAAACAGTCATTTTTCCTTCTAACAGTACATCAGTAGTTTTGAAGCAGTAGCTGTGAAGTACAGCTCCTCATGAAGGTGTCCTAGCCTCCAAAGGCAACTTGTGTATCCAGCCCTGAAGTGTAGTAAACTAATGGAAAGCTTTTTTGCAGAAGTGCACTTAGCCTGGATGTTCTACGTCACATGAGGGATTTGGGAATTAGCTTGGAAATACTAAGTAGTAATGAAGGTCCTTCTTGATAATGGTAATAGAAAATCTGACATTACATCTAGAAACATGATTTTGGGAAGAATGTAATCAGCTGTGCTGTGGATGAAAATGAAGACCTTTGCATAGGGACATGGGTGGTGTATTTGTAGTAAACATGGCTTAAACAGTTGGTCTGTGTTGATTTAATTTCATGGTCTCCTCATAAGGACGTAGATCTTTATCAGCATCATAGAAAAACCTGTATTGAAAAGTCGGTTCCGTAAGAAGTATGGAGTAGAATAAAGGAAGTCATCCTTTCTAATGCTTTGGTTTTTCTGAGTGAGAAGGAGCTGATGGTCCATTTATAAGAGGCTGGAAAGCAGAAATCATAGTGTGTCAATAAAGCTGATAGGAAGTCAAAGTGATTAAGAGTTGCTTGGTATACAGCTTTTCTTTAAAATTCCATTTTATTAAGTGTATTTTTTCCTCAAAGGCCTCCTCGTACAGATTAGAAGCTCTCTGAGCTTCTGCTGAACAATCTTGATGTAGTAGTCCCAAGACTCAGTCAGCTCAACAGTAAGCTTGACAGCTGTTTCTGAAATGGTGTGCCAGAGAAACTGGGAAAAACTACCAGAGTCAAACGGTTTGGATTCTAGTAGATGACAAGGTATATTTACCATCTAGTTCTAGGCATAATTGTACTT